ATCAAACTTCACCCTCATTCGTTCTTTCACGCAACAATCGGTGGGGGAGAAACGTCATCCTTCATTCTTCAATGGCTGATATTGACGAAGGTAAGCATAATCAATTATTCATTATTCCAACCCAATTCAACCGCTCAGCAAGCAATGGAGACATCGAAGAGATTGCAATTTCAGATGATCCAGCGCCTTCTCCAATACCAAACGCGTTGGAACAGGAAATCGCTTAATCGCGTAAGTTACCCATCGACAATTGACTTGAAATCGTGAACATCTTACCTTCTGTGATCAATTTTATTGAAATTACGCTATTTTGTTTCAGCGGATTGGAATTTCGTAAATATACTTTAGCATTCTCAATTCAATCAGAGCATTAATTACCAGCATGATATGTGATTGTATTTAATACATATATCAACATCTTGCCATTTATCTGAAAGCATATTGAAATATGGTGGTCAGCATTTTGATTAACAGAATCTAGCATTCCATATGTTTAGAGTCCATAGATTGGCATGCAATGGAATCTACAAAACCGGATGATGCATACAATACGCAGCTATGTTTGTATCCAATCGTAGGATTAATACATCACATTTAATCATTGCGAATACAAATCAGGAAGCTGGACTACCAATCAGATCATCGTATGATTTGTGAAAATAATTGTTGGAGGAAAGGAAAATGTGAATATACTTCTTTACTTGGCCCGTCTACTCAAATTAATAGATTAGTATGTTGAGTGTATTCTTCGTAAACGTTGTTGAATGAACGTGAATATGCTGAGTAGGTTTTTACAGCCCGACAATAATATTGTTTAATTTATTTATCAATTTCAAAGAGTGGTGGAGAATCATAGAAAAAAAGAGTAACAACATGATTTTTTCGCATGGGATAGACGACTGGCTGCAAATCATATGTTCAACTCATTTATAAAATCTGCAGCTATGTTCTATACATCGAATGTCTTTCAATGGTTTCAGAAGCAACACCAAAGGTCCTTTGAATTCATAACATAGTACTTAGATGAAAAGACAACATATATTGTATATAACATGGAGAAGACAAGCGATCAACATCTTGTGCACGTAAATATTCAAGAGTCTTCAATTGAGTACACATGCAATATGTAGAAAAATGCTAGAATGTTGTGTTGTCATTCAACACGCACGATAGATGTTTTAGTAGCAACAGGGTGTGCACAATTCAAAAACATCCCAAACAAATACATATTGAATCGATGGAGAAAAGATATTAGGAAGATGTGACAGTAGCACCACACAAGCCTAACATCTAGTCGGGAAGAAATGGATTTTTCAGGAAGATACAAATCATTGTGTCACTTGTTCATGAATTCTGCAAAGTTAATAGCATCTGAGCCGAAGAATTACAGTTCATTCTGACATAAATCCAATGAATTGCTTCATAACATAGTTACATGCCCAAATTTGTATGGAGAAATGCCGACGGATGAAAATAACAGATACATTTCGTATATATTTTATATTCATTGGAATATATATGATATTACATTAATCAATTCTTCATGCTACAGGAGAAGTACAAAATATAACCACTGCAGACCATTAAATATTGAAGCCAAGAGACAATTCAAAAGGAAGAATTAAAAGAAAGATGTCAATCAGTGACTCTAAGAAACAAAAGAAACATCGAATGATGAATAAGAGAGATAACCAGTAGGATAAATCCAAGAAAAATTGAGTTTTTTGTATATATGATTTAGTTGCAAAGTATTGTGAATAATTGATATTAAGCACTTACATATACAAGACCAAGCATTTTGTCGAATACTAATAAACATTTTCTACAAGTGTGTTTAGGATGTCAATGAACTATCAAATTATATGAATGTTATTTCAAAAAATGTTAGCAAAATTAATTGTAAATTAAAAAAATTATTACTGTAATCATGCAACTTTTTTTAAAAAAAATTCTAACTTGTTTCCGCGGAGAGCAGCCAACTTAAACAAAAATATATGTTTCTAGCGAAAACAAGGTCTGTTTCTGCTAGCTCATGGAAACAGACCTTGTTTCCGCTAGAAACAGGCCGCATTCATTCTAAACCTGCCAGCATTTATATATACTAAGTCAAGCATTTTACTATGTATCGGTCAGCATCTTCTGTTTTAACAAGCAACATGAGTATTAAGCAGTAATTTTTGCGAAAATACAGTCAACAGATCAATCATCAATCAAAATTCAATCCATCAATCAACACCAACACTCTATTCAAGTTAAATCGGTCGATCAATACCAACAATCCCTTCAAATTCAATTCATCAAAATCAACAAATCAGTTATCACACTTAATTTTGTCTTGCCCACGACCTCGTCCTCGCCCTAAACATTTATCCTAAACTGCACAATAGAAAAAACAGAACTCAAAATAGGTAACATGGAAGTAGATGGACATTTATCCTAAACTGCGCAATGAAAAAAACAGAACTTACCGAAATCGCCTCCATGGATGCGCCTAGTGTCGTCGATTTGAAGCACGGTACAGAGAGTTAAAGAAGACGAATTGGAGACGACACGCGAGGGAAAGGTTTCGTTGAAGAAGGCAATTTGAAGAAGGAATGGAGAACAAACGAGCGCAAAGGAGAATTTCCGTTGAAGAAAACGATTTGAAGACGAAACAGAGAACAAGCGAGCATGATGGAGGATTTTCGTTGAAGAAGACGATTTAAAGACGGAACAAGAGAGCACGATGGAGGATTTTGATTGAAGAGAGAAGATTAATGATTTGAAAACGAAGGGTTCTTATACCCCTGTAAGTTTTTAGAATAAGAATTATTATATTATCCATGCGTAATCTAAATCGGTCATCATAATCTAATTATGATGAACTATTTGGATTAGATCAACATGGTGCTGATAGGTGCACCCATCAGCACTGGATGGATCCGTCTTCTATATATATATATATCCAAAAAAAAAAAAACAAAGTAAATACACCTGAAAATTAACGCAAAAAGATACGCTAAAATGATTTCTGAAATTATAGAATAGAAGCAAGCATTTTTTTGTAAAATGATAACCAAATCCAAACAAACATGGAATTAAATTGAAAGTTTCATTCATAGAAATCCGTTGACGATTTCAGTCGACGTCAGTATGCACCTCTTCTGATGACGACTAGAACAGCGTCGGGCAACAACTCGGCGGTGGACGACAGTGACTCGCCTACCGCAACTCCATTTTTTAAGCTTGTTTGTTGTTAGAAATTTTGGCGAAAAATAACGGAATTATTTTATTATCATCAAAATAACAGGTCTACAATACAGAACCAACTCGATAGAGTTAAATCTAAATAATTTAATCTATGATAAATCTAAAATTGAATATCAAAAATATCTCAATACTTATTAATAAGCCTCTCCGAACTATTTTCCGGACTCCATTTAGTTGTCTTGGTTAAGGTCTTGCCTTTTAAGTAATCTCCAAACATTCACCCCATTTTTGGGGTAAATACAGTAAAAATGAATACAATTGATCTAAATAATTTTAGTTCAATCATAAACTTCAATTTTTACTCTAGATTGTCTATATATTTTTTATATTATTTTATATAACTTTTTATATTTATAAATTATACCCCAACTATAATTTAGTTTTATATTGTAATTCATATATATATAATTTATATTTTATTTGAAAATTATATATATATATATATAAATTAACATTTATAATTAATAACTATTACAAATAAATTAATTTTTAAAAAATAAAAATTATACATCACTTTCCGAAAACAATTTATGTACTACTTTTAAAAATATAAAATTATATATCATTTTAAAAAGATAAAATTATATAAGTACATTATTTTTAAAAAAATATGAAATTATATATAACTTTTTAAAATATAAAATTTTATATTACCTTCTAAAAAATAAAAATTATACAATATACCCAAAAAATAACAAAAATACAGGGGAACACCCTAAAATATCACAAAAACTCCACTAAAAATAGAGTGGATACAAAACTGCAAAATAGGGGGAGGGGGCGAGGGGGGATTTGAGGGTGGGTTGGAGTCCCTCCCTCTAATTTTTGTCATCTAAAAATATTTTAGTTGTTTTTTTTAGAAAAAATTACTATTATTTTCTGTTTTTTTTTATTATATAAGATAAAAAATTTATTTTTACCCCTTACTTTTAAAATTTATATTTGGTTAAATGAACATAATTTTACTACATGGCGAAAGGAATACATTATTATATTTCACTAAACAAGCATCAAACAATTATGAACAAGATTAATGCTTCCTTTTATTTAAATATAAGAATGAACAAAACATTCCAAATTCGATTCGAACTAACTAAAATTAAAAATTTGATTTGAATTTTCAAATGCGTTCAAATAAAAATATTTTATAAATTTTAAAATTTTGAATAATTTTAAATCGATCTAGATCAATATACTAAAAATCCATACCAATTCAAAATCCGAAATATAATATTTTTAATGATATAGTAATATTTTAATAAAAGTGAAAACTCAAAACATAGGATGTATTTCTACAAGCTCGATTTGGACAAAATTACTGTGCAAACACTGTTTACACAGTAATTTCACCCAAACCGGATAGGCTCCCCAAAACGCAACATAAGCTGCAGTGTTGTTTTTTTTTTTTAAATATTTTTTTTTCAAATATTATATTTATTTAATATTTATAATAGTTATTATTTAATAAAATATATACAATATATATCATTTTGTAAAATATAAAATTTTTAAATACAAATAATTTAAAAATATAATCAACTCACTCAAACCTATTTTTTCCCAAATTACCCTAAAGAAACACACCCTATTAATTATATTTAATATACTTAATTTATTTATTATATATTTGTACTATAAAACAAATATAAAAATTTAAAATTATAAAAATAATAAATAGTCTTATATTTTTTATTCACGTTATTCTTTTATTTAAAAAAATAACTTCAATTTTAACTACTTATAAGAAATCATACCAGAAATATTAAGCTTCAATTGTCATCAAAAGAGGTCCTAAATATTGCTCATCCGCAGTACAATTATCGTTGTGTTTTCCTCCAACCTACTCGATTACGATATCGAATAACTCGGTAAATTCGACAAGCCTCGTCAAACAGAGAGCTCGCTCTACGCCGGGGAGGAGCACAAGCGGCGAATAATTCCGAATGCATAAGCCAAAAATGAAGTGCAAAGTACCAGACAGAAAATGAAAGTAGAAGATTCACCTTAAGCTACCGGAAGTTCGCCACACTCGCTGATGACAACCCTCTTTTTAGGGCGATCGCCTCTGTCTGTTTCTTGGTTTTCGATCGCCCTAACGACGTCCATGCCCTCCAAAACTTGTCCGAACACAACATGCTTCTGGTCCAGCCATGATGTCTGCATTTCATTCACAACAAACATTTTCAATCAGCGTTTAGAGCTAAATTTAAGGACCAAATTGACGACAGGTGTGGAATGGTTGAGTGGAAATCTCTCCTGTGATTATTAGTCTTGGCAATATTATCATGATTATCGATCAAAACTAGAACAAGATTGAGATAATAGTATAACTGAAGCTACATTGGCGAATAACTCGAAGCTCAACTATAGAAGACGAACAAAGAGAAGCACCATAGTCAATGCGACACGTGAAAACAGATCAAAACTATTCCAAACTTTCTCAATAGAGTTACTGTTCCGAATTATGTCATACTGGATGAAGGCACAAAAAGGTAAGCTTAACATTCAACATTACATCAAGGGAGGGTACGTAAAAACTTAAAGGTTGCATTGTTTTGTGGATTTTTCAAGATTTTTCAGTGTCCAATTAATTTTCCGTATATATTATACTATGAATCAATATACGTTCAAAATATTCACTGTCCAAATCCGATATCCAAATCCTCAAACAAACACACCCTTTAGGTTCTTATTAGTGACTCAAGGATGGCTAACTATTTGCAATTGTAGAAGCATAAAAACCAGAAACATAGGAGCATGGTGATGGATGATGCAAGTAAGTTTTCGTTAAAATAATTAGAAATGGTCATGTGATATATACCTTTCCAAAATTTTAGTTTTGATGTTTATTCTTGCACTAACGTTCGGTACTCTTTAGAAATAAGTTTATTTGAAATTGCTACATTACCTTGACGGTACAAATGAAAAATTGGCTTCCATTGGTATTAGGGCCAGCGTTTGCCATGCTAACAACTCCCGGTCCAGTGTGAGTCACTACAAAGAAGGCATACAAATTATAATCGACATTGGAAAAAGCTCTAGCTGACAGGCATGACAAGAAAAAAGTGTATACTTACACTTAAAGTTTTCGTCTTTGAATTTAGGACCATAGATGCTTTTACCACCAGTGCCCTGAGAAGAAAATATCCCGTGAATGAAGCATGTACAGATAAAATGGTTCAGATACTTCAGAGCTCCTATAAATAAGAAGAGAATCCATTGTTTAAGAAATTCCCATTCAATCAGCAGATAAAAGGTGTCAGATAATTGGATTGTACCCTGGTATGGCTGCTAATTGTAACAACATATATGCAACTATTTAGCAATCAAATTTGTACAAATACTTTATCTCTATAACATAAAAATCATAAATTAAAACATTTAATTAGAAAAGAAACCATAGAAACCATTGGATTAAAGGATTTTGATTTTGAAGATGGATTCCAAGGAAGAATTTAAACTGAACCCAAAATAGAATGAATTTCAAATCTACAAAATCAAAGCTTTAAGTTCAAAATAAAAGTAGCATATAGAATTAGAATGCTTCAAAACTGTGCAGAAATGGCAGAGACCTCGTATTTCAGCCAGAGAAACTCTCAGCAAACAAAGAACAAGAAGTTTAGTTATAACAATCACAAATGCTATGAGATGAGTTCACAAGCAGTTAAATAACAGAGCTCTTATGCAAAAACTACCCAAAAACTCATTGCATACAGTAAATAATAACACAATTCAACTATGATGTAGATAAAATTAACAGCTCACATTTCCATTCTCAAAATCGCCCCCTTGAATCATGAAGTCCTTAATAACACGGTGGAATGAACAACCTTTGTAGCCAAACCCCTTCTCCCCTGTTCACCAAACATTGAAAAGTTAAGCCAACATCATTAACCAAATGACAACATTTTGGAGCACAGGCCAGTGTATGATGTACCTGTGCACAAAGCACGAAAGTTTTCGGCAGTTTGCGGCACGTCATCACCATACAATCCAATTACAATCCTTCCAGCAAGCTTCCCTACTGGATTTCCAATGCTTATATCAAAATAAACTTTATTCGTCACTTTTGATTGCAGTGTAGCTTCCTGAATAATGAACAGGTACAAAAATGTTCAAAATATATGCATACATATAAAGAACCGAACCTTTTGTAAAAAAAAATTTCCCAACATTGATATGAAGCAAGATAAAAACATAAATTCAAGAAGTAGGAAACCTAAAAATGGTTAAAGAAAGAAAAAACTAAGAACACAAACCTCGGCCGCAGCACGAATTGATAGGGGCGCGGACCAGGTTCTGCTCCGAACCGGACCGTTCAAATGCAAAGACGATAGTCCAATCGAACCGGAGAAAAAGCTCGAAGAAGTATACGATGAAAAGGCAGGTTTCGGAATCGTCAAGGAGCTCGTAGATTTGGTAGTCAACAATGCTCGTGGAGCTAAAGCTGAGCTAACATTAGGCTAAAAAAGCAACAAAGAAGACGAAACAAAAAACAAAATCAACAAACACCAGGGAAACGGATAATTGAAAGTATAAAGTAAAAGCGAGAACAAATATAACAAAAGATTTAGGGTAAAGAGAGGAGAGGTACCACCAAGAGAGACGCAGAGGAAAGCGCCATCGTCAACTTCTGGATTAAAGAAGAAAATGGAAAGAAGAAGAGTAGGTAAAGTGAGGGAGGCGGCTCGGAATGGCAGGCAACAGCCGAATGGCGAAATGGCTGCGGAGATGACGATGATAATATTATATACTACATCCAAACATATCCGAACTATACATAAAATGCAATGGCTGTATATTTTTAAGCCGTTTTATTTCTTATTTTTTATTTATAATTTTATAAAGTATACTTAAAATTTTGATCAATTTAAATAAAAAAAGAATAATAACAAGATTTAAAATGTAAGTTGGGTCTATTTGGTTGGGTTGTTGAAAGTTCATTCAAATTTATTCAAATTTATTTTTTTTTTTATCTCTTTTTTCTAAAAAAAACAAATATACTGGTATTATATAAAATTTTATTTTTTACAAAATAATATTCATATTTTATATATTTTATTAAAATAATTAAACATATTTTCTTTTTTTTTTTTTAATCTTATATATATTATATCATAAATCAAATATTAATTAAATAAGTCCCTCTCAATTCAATTTCTAACCACTCACCAAAAGCACCTTAATGTTCATTTCCGAGGTCTTCGCAATTTTTGTTCCTATATTTTACCACTTTTAATTTGTGTTCCTATAAAATTAATTTCATAAAAAATGTTCTCTTTTTTACTAATTTGCACAAAATTTGGTCTAAATATCAATTAGATGAAAATTAAGGATAATTAAATAACGTCGTTGACGTTGTAATCAAGTGATACCCACGTGACGGTTGATAATCCCAAACCGGTTCGCCTTAGACTCAGTTCTCCATCGAATGATTCCGTTTAAACCCAGTTTAGTTCACTCGTTGCCTATTTTTTCCAAATAGATCATTTTCTCTCATTCCTCAGTTCACTCGCGAAGTCCTAGCTCCCTTCGATTTTCGTCATCCTTAAAGAGCTGGATTGAAGGCATAGTTCAAGAATTCGTTCCTCCAATTTTGGCAAGATTTCAACGAGAATGAGCTCGACGTTTTCATCCCGAACCAATTTTTCAAGAAATCCGCGGACTCTAAAGTCCCCGATCAAAGATATTCCAAAGCTGTTGTGTATATGTGGATATGAGCTCTCATTGCTTACCTTTTAGAGCAGAAGCAATCCAGGTAGGCGATATAGGGTTTGCCCTAACTATACGGTAATTTCATTTGTATTTTTTTTAAAAAAAAAAATATTATTATTATTATTTATGTTAAACTATGGAAATATTTGATCGATTTTAATTTTGTAGAAATGTGAAAATTACTGTAGTATGTTTGAATGGTGGGACAAGGAACCTACTGATAGATATAAGAAAGTGACCAATGCATTGGTGTTTAAAATTAAACGGCTCGAAAATATTTAGAAACGAAAGAACGTTATCGACGTAAACGACGATGGTGTTGAAGTTGAAATGCAAGAAAATCAATTGATGAAGAAGCTAAATATATTGGAGAAAGAAGTTAAAATGATGAAACGCCAGAACAACAAACCTCAACCGGTGCACGTTGGCTATGTTACAGAGCATAGCAGTTTAATATTACTTAACATAGGGGTTATTGTGCTCATTTTTCTGGTGTTCGGGCTTATGGCGATAGTCAACACTACATCACCTGCCAAATTGGCTATTGCCAAAAGGTAATAATATTAGTAATAATGTGTTGCGTGTTCCAGGTGTTGGTTTGTTGTCGTTATATCGTAAGTTGTAATGTTGGTGTATTGTGTTGTTGTAATATTTGTTCCTTGAAACTTAGCCTTAGTTCATTGTTGGAAGGGGTGTTGTAAGGTAAGTGTAATGGATTGAATTGTTCTAGTATGTGAACTTTGGTTTTGCTTTTTATTGTTTGAAGAAATGTTGAGTAGTAATATAATTCGCTTCTTTATGTGTGATCGTGTTCAATTCGTTTGTAAGGAATCTGATTAGCTAATTGAAGCAGCTTGTTATAAATGAACCTGTAGTTGTGTATGATTGAGTAGGTTTTGTATAATTAAATAGCTTGTATATAGATGAACCAATGTTTGATGTCAGTGGTGTGTAATGATACAATTTGTGTACGAATGAACCTATGCAAAAATGTATAATAAGCAACCACAATTAGGCAACAATTGATAAACTTGTGTGCATTTCCAAGAAAAAATGCAATTTACTTAAAAGCACATCACATAAATAAATGACAATACCTAGATCCCTAAAGATTTCAATTTACATACCATATTGAAACACCAACAATCCATCGCCCATGAAAAAATAATTCTTAAGAGTTTTCAAACATATTGATTCACAAGATCAAATGCAAATTTAGGCCAGTAAAACTGTATTAGACGCTTGGAGTCTCTACTTCTTCTTGTTGGTGGGTTTATCTTGCTTTCTTGGATTGGTTCTTTTTTTAGTATTTGAGGCACCTTTTGTTGTTTTTTATGTTGGTTGGATGTGTGCTTCAATTAATGTCACAATTGTTGTGCTGCCACCATCTACTCTATTGGAAACACAAGATTGAAATGTGTTTCCTCCTTTAGCAATAACAGGTATGCGAATGGTGTTGGACATCGACGGCATCTACAAACAAATAAAGTTCAATCAGTACAATGAGTTGTAACAAAAATTGCATATAACGAAAATCAAAATGTTACTTAAATTGAAACCATTGTTTTCCTTGGACTAGTGTGGGTTTTTGCTTTTGAACGAACATTAGTGGTAGCCTATAAACATGAAAAATAGACCAGACAATTAACTTGTGAAATAAAAGTTAATGTAAGTTCTACAATACATTGTTACTTGAATTGATGCTATTTTCTTCCTTGGTATAGTGCATGATCTTGCTGTTGATGGAGCAGCACCAATATCTTGTAAACATTGAAACCAAAAACGACATTTATCAAGTGAAATGGAATTGAATTTAAGTTTTACAAATCATATATTTGTGATATTATCCGACTCCCTAGGCATTGGCTGAGAGGATGTTTCACAGCACCGTGTTCTTGGCATCTCCTCTCATATCCTCATTTTGAGCACTTTCCATTTACTCACTATTTGAAGTCTATATGGATTTTTTAACTTTGGAGGAGTTCATTGGATTTCTTGCGTCTCATTATTACTGGTCTCCCAACACTTTTCTTTTCAATCGGTGGAAAAAGTGCTTCCTTGGCTGTTTTTTTCTATAAATCAAGTCCACTCAAAGGTAGGATTGGATAAGCATGACTTTTTGTATGTAGCCACAAAATAGCATTTATGGACATAAGTCAATTGATCTTTTCCTCTACACCAAGTTGCGGATACTGCATGCTTACATGGATGCATGTTAAGTCTCATTTTCTGCAACTACATATTTTATCCCTCACATTAACTATATGTTGGTCAAAAGATCCAGTAATATGAAAATTGCAATCATCATTTCTCATTGAAATGAATTCAGAAGCCTCTTCCATTTTTTTTTTTCATTCTTTTCAGACAAAGTGGATCATCCCATTTTTCAGTTTTCTTCCGATTCAATTGCATCCTCACCATCAACAAGTTTTGAATCTTCTCTAATATGGAAATAAATGGCTTATCTCCCGCTTCCGAAATAAAATTGTTGAAAGACTCACACATATTGTTAAGAAGCATGTTGCATCTATAATACACACTAAAGTGTGGCCTAGACTAATGATCCAGACTCTTATTTTCTAACCAATTAAACACATCTTCTGAAACCTTTTTTCATTTCCTCCATTCTTTGTTTAAACTCCGGAATTGTGGTAGCTTTAATTACTGCCCATAAAAGCCTCTTCACTGCAATGTTTGTATGTTCATCATGTTTCATGTTTGTATGTAAATGTCTCAGACATAAGCGATTCTCAACCTAGGTTAGAATGGATTCGAAAGTAGAAATCAATCCATTTTACTTATTACTCATGAACGTCCAATAACGTCCATCTTTAATATCCAAATCTCTTCTCAACTGCTCCAAGAACCACAACCAACTGTCTTTGTTCTCAGCCTCAACCACAGTGTATGTTATAGGAAAAATATTGTTGCTCACATCAATACCCACAGCACTTAACAACTGCTCTCCAAGCTATCCTTAAGCTAACAGCCATCAACACCTACCACCGGCCTACATCCTTCAAGAAACCCTTTCTTGCATGCAGAAAAACAAACATATATCCTTTGAGACCTTTGTAACCCAGATTCTTCATCATCTATAAGTTTCAAAGAAAGGGAAATGCTTGGATTACATCTCTCAATCTCATTACAATAATCCCACAGCCAGTCATACTACTCCACATTAGACCCGTGCAACAAGTCTAAAGCTTTCCTACTAGCTCTATATACCTTCGACATTGAGACCTTACACCTCAATGTTCTACATTTTTCATCCCTAAAGAATCCAGGATCCAACTTCGGATTCTCCTTCAACTTTTTCATAAATGTCTTTTCAATCTAAGAAGACTTAATACTTAGGTCATCATAAGTCCATCCACATTTGCTATGAATTTCATTTATGCTACGCAACTGCCATGTTTCATCACATTGCACCTTGGACACAAGCACAAACCACCCACACCCCTGTTTTTTGCATGTAACTCTCAACCTACTCTTGTCAATCTTTGGAAATTTCACATTTATCCCCCTCCTAAAACAATGGTTTTCAATGACAAACTTAGCATCGGCCCTCGACTTAAACAACAACCCCAATTTCAACTCCGGATTTTCACCACCTATGTTTGAATTATATATTACAAACTGGTTTGTCATTTCCTTTTCACTTCCATCACTTTCCATCCCACTATTTAACTCACTATCACTACCCATGACATCTATCTCACCATCCTCTTTTGTAAAGTGTTCAAAATATCTTTAGTAATTTTGGAATTATCCACAATAGATTTTCCTTTCATCATACCTTCAATGTCAACCCCACTTTCTAACTCAACTTCATTATCCGAATCATCAAAATCAGAATCATTTTCTTCCATTTCACCTTCCACACCATCACCAGCCCGAGGAACTTCACTACCTAAATCCTTTGTTCCACTAATTAATTACATTGGAGTGAGGATCTTGGCTAAGCCCGATATCTAGATGTCTAAGTATATATGGAGTTCATAATTATCTGAAATATATTTTGTCATCCACAAAATATCCCTATCATTTTCCAAACACTTGCATTGTCTATCAAAGTTGTTACCGTACTTCACCCAAAATTTAACATGATTCGCTTCTTTATATATCAATTCCTCTGCATATCCCCACATTTCTAACATACTTAATTTATCCATATCAACAAAATCAAAATAGTCATGTTCTTCCCCTAAATATTCTCTACGGGGCCTATGGCTTATCGATCATTACCCCACCAAAATATATCAAGATAGCAGAAGTATCTTCATTGAACATTTTCGCTACATTTGAGTAATGCTAAGTGTTTAACATAATGTAATATATTCATTATAACCAATAGGACAAATAAACATAAATCAACACCTAACCAAGTCTCATTTACCGGACATAATTCACTTTCTAACACATGTTATCAAAATTGCATTTAGTGCGTCGAACTAACACAATATAATCATTGTTTTACCTCATTTTATTGAAATTAAAGCCTCTCATAGATAAAATCAAATAATTAGAACAATCCTAACGCATAGTGGAAAAAATTATATTATACAAACCTTAAGCGTGATTGCTTCTACGTTTCGTTGTCGACTACACACTGGAATGTACGTCTCCACGACGGAATTGGACGAACGAACTTGTGAACGAACTCCACCTTAATCCATGGCAATGATCGATAGGAATTAAGGTTTCGGGATTGTTAATATGGGTGGGGTAACTGTGGGAAAAATGGGGTGGCGATGATCGAAGGGAGCTAGGGCTTCGTAAGTGGACTGAAGAATAGGATAAGGGGTCGAGTTAGGAAAAATAAAAAGCGGATGAACCGAACAGGTTTAAACCGAGGGCTTCGTAAGTAGACTGAAGAATAGGATAAGGGGATCGAGTTAGAAAAAATAAAAAGCGAATGAACCGAACGGGTAAACCGAACCGAGTCGGTAGAGAACCGGGTCTAAGGTGAACTGATTTAGGATTATCAATTATCAATGGTCACGTAGCTATAACGTGATTACTACGTCAACAACGTTCTTTAATTATCCTTAATTTTCGTCTAATTAACGTTTAGATTGGATTTTGAGCAGATTAGTAAAAAAAAAAAACACATTTTTTACAAAATTAATTTTATAGGGCCACAAATTGAAAAAGCCATAAATATTTGAGTCAGAAATTGAGAATACCCCATTCATTTCCTATATGACTTTTACAATGTCCAGAATACATTTATGTTTACCCGCATAAATATCGAGAGGAGTAAATTCAGAGTTGCAAGAGAAGCATATTAGGCTATTAGGAAAGTAAAAGCCCACATAAAATAAAAAAGAATAGAATAGACAAGAGAGGAGAAGAGAAGATCTGTACAATGCCTGCCATTGCCATATCCAAACCTACCTACCTACCTACCTACCTACATAGTATTTCTCTCACTTGTTGTTAATTAAGCAACAATAATAAATCAATCAATCAATCCTCTATCCGCTGTATTTCTCCCATCATGATTCGGTTGCTCGTTACTTTGAATCCCAGCAGCGACGGGTCTATCTGCCTACCCTTCTTCCCCTTTTTCTTATTGTTTCGACCTCCTCCTCCTCCCTCTGCTCCCGATGACTCTGAACCTCCTCCTACCTGAGATTGAGCTGCTGGTGCTGGTGGTTTCTTGCCACTGCTCTTCAGCATATCACTGAAAGAAGTCTCTAATACATCAGCGTCGTTGCAGGATGATGTCCTCCTAAACTGTGCAGCAGATTCAGCAGAGGCACCTCCTCCTCCTCTGCGACTTGCTGCTCCTTCTGTGTTTCTTGCATTACTACCTCCCGCCTCTGGTTTCCCGCCTGAACCAGCACACACACAGCAAACTAAACACGAGAATACAGATACATGCACAAATACTCAATCAGAGAATAGCTATGACTCAAACACACACCCAGTGCTAAGGATGACAAACCGGCAAAGGGAGAACACTAACCAACAAGCAGCAGGCGTTGGCATCATGGTATGGTGGTGAAGTATATATAAATCATTTAAACACAAGAATTTGGGCTCTAATAAAAACACAACCCACAAACAAATCCACAGAATTTCCCTTGGTAGACAGACAAGTAAATATCAAGGATCACGCTTACCGTCAGATGGAGCCGTATTTGAAAGGCTTCTTCCTTTGGAAACTGGATCAGCAGGAAGATTTGACAAGCCTTCATGAGAAGATGCAGGGCGCGGCATAGGAGGATGCCTTAGCAAGATATTTTCTTGTCCTTTCGAACTGGAAGATCCCAACCTAGATACAATAAATAAACAAAAACTAATGATTTGAGTTTTTAAGGGAAAGAAATCCTAATAAGCCAGCAATGACACAGAATATCACACCAAATATTTAGCAAAAACATAGGGGTCAAACAATACACAAACCAATAGCATAGCGAGTATATCTTGAAAAGGAAGCCCAAAGCATCCCAATTTTTTTGTAAGGTTAAAAGAATTTTAAAATGCCCACCAATGACCAAGTTCCTATATTAAATTTAAAACTTGCTGCCTCCTTTGATAATTTGCTACAAAGCTTCAGGGGTAGTAAAAATGACCTGATGATAAATTGTCCCAGGAAAAAAATTTGGCCATTAAAAGGGAAGCTCACAGCAGCAGTAACAGAAAATTTTGGAAGGTTTCATTACCTATCCTTTGTGGCATCCTCCATAAACGAGTCACGCAAGCCAATCTTTTCACTTGGATAAGCTAATCATTGCCCAACAGATGATGTTATTCACTTCAGATTAGAATGTGTCTGTGTGTGCAAGAGGGAACACAGAAAAGAATGAGATATTATTACCAGAAGAGCCAAGTGACATTTGCCTGCTGAGGATATTGACGGGCATTTCAGCTCTATCGATGGATGTGTCACCAGCCCGTTCCATTATGCCTTCTCGAGCATCTGAGATGAACCCCTGAAAGTTAACTTTACAGGTGAGCATCCATCCAAAATTTCCACATTAAAAATAAATAAATAAATAAAGGGGATGTTCCCCTGCCTTGTTTATCATGTAAAATTGTCTTTGCTTACCTTATAGCTGTCATCAATGTTGGAAGCAACTGGTCTTCCTTCAAGAGATGCTCCACCTTCCAGGACACCAAGCATCCCTTTGGACAATTGACTCTGCAGACGTCCCCCGGAATCTGAACCGTAAGATCCAACAGCTAATGATTTGTTGAAACCTGGTTCTTGATCTGCTGACTGATCTATGCTTGACCCAGAATATTGACTTGAAGGTGGCCTTCTATCATGCACTGTTCCATTACTTCCATCATACTGTTCACTTGATGGGAAGCCAGACTTCTGATGCAGCAACTCCATAAGCAACCGCTTGGAAGTATCGTCATTTGTTCCTGCTGACATCCAAAAACTATCTTCATTCATTCTTTTGACTTCTGATTCCATTCTCTGCCTCTCACTATAAAGATGCTGTTGAACCATTGATTCCATACCCTCATTGGGTAGCTGACCGTTACGATCAGACCAATGACCATCCAATGCATCCAATTGTGATGCATTGAATTGATTTGGTATTAAAGGATGGTTGGCCTGCTGCTGTGAATAAACACCAGATAAAAACCCACCACCTTGACCACCAGAGTTCATCTTTGCCATCTGCTCCTGCATTTCCAAACTCTGAGCACGAACCATGGAATTGACAACATCATGATTCATCCCGGCAGCATCAACATTCAATGGCATAGATCGCTCAAAGGGTAACATGCCAGGGTCATAAAGACCATGATGTCTATCTTGCAAAGAAAGATTCCTTTCAAGGTGCATGAGCCGCTCATCAGTTGGTATTTGTTGGGAATAGAAATCCAAAGGGGCTGCTCTACGAGAGGCAACCGAATTTCTGTGGAACTGACTAGCATCATCAAGGGACCAACCAGGATTAAATCGTCTTTCTTCTTCAAGTTCTAATTGCTGCCTCAATCCTAAAGGCAGCTGCCTTCCCTGCAACTGTTCAGGCTGCATAAATTGTTGATCTAGTGGATGTATCTGCCCATGCCTTCCTCGTGATAAGATTTCCATCAACTCATTTTGATGGCCTTGATGAGATGTTTGACCAAATTTTGCTTGAATTAACTGCTCCATGGATAGATCAGGACGCCTTGAAAGTAGAGCTTGCTGCTGCAGTATGGCCTGCTCCAAAACAGCATTGGATCGAAGTGCATCTATATGTGACTGCCCCCGACCAGAGTCATGAAATTGACTCTGCATCAGCTGCTCAAGTAGAGCCTGCCTGGCTTCAGACTCCCGCTGCTCTTTCAGCAATGCTTGCTGTTGATGGAACTTCTGTTGTTCCAGTAGTTGCTGCTGTTGACGCATTTGCAGCTGTCTTTGTTGTTGCAACTGAAGGGCCAGGATGTGTTCGGCATCCTGCCCCATCAGGCCAGCAAGTTGTTTGTGGTGCATCATTTTCAGACTCGGGTCTTCCTCAAGCATTGATTCATTCAAGTTCATATTGTGAGAAGGAATCATACCCTGTTGTTGAAGATGCTGCTGCAGAAGTTGTTGGGGAAGATGCTTTTCTGCTAAACCAATGCGATTAAGCTCTTGCTCCTTCCTCGAGTAATGCCGAGCATCCATTATATTCTGATAAATGTCAGAATCAGGGAGTGCACTCCTACCATAAGCATCATACCAAGGCTCGGGGATATGAGCGGGATCAGCCACAGCACCAGAAGGGGCAGCCCTTCCTGGCACAGGATTTACAATTTTTTCTGGAACACCTCCACTGAATGTAGTTGCAGGATCATTCCTTGCATATGATCTTTCAAGCTCAGACCACAACAACCCAAGAGGATGTAACTTATTCTCTTCCTGATTCAAAACACCTGAATCAGCAGGTTCATTAGCAACATATAATTGATTGCCACTGTTTGCAGCTTGTTCACCATATCCCCTGAACACCTTCCCTGCAGCACTGCCACCACTTCCAGGTCTCCCAGGAAACACAATTTCTATTTTATATATACAAGGGGAAAAATATAGAAGTCAATAAGATAAGAATTGTAGGCAGCTCCCAAAATAAAAATGGAAAAAGAAGGATAAACCATAGTAAACATCAACGAACCTTCATCTTGGGCACCTAAATCATGGAAATCTCCCCCGTGAGCGTACAAGTGATGTGACAGACGATGCTGATAATCAGATACTTTTGAATTGTTAGAAAGAGGATCAAAATCTGGTAAATGGGAACCAGATCCATCAAGTGCAGTGAAAGGAGTTGATTGAGGTACACGAATCTGCAAGTGAGTTTCTGAAGTAGCCTCTGCATTCTCTACATTAGAGCTGAAACCAGTCTCATTATCATAAAGATGATGAACTTTCAAATGAGGCATAACATCACCCAATTCTAGGAAAGGAGTCTCCTCAGGAGCACCTTCTAAACGGACAGGTAAATCAGTCCCAAAGAAACCTTGATCAAACCATGTAATGATGTCTGCTCCAAGAAAAGGACCCTGGATCTCCCCTTGGGGATCCCGATAGTACAAACTTAATTCCTCAGGAGCAATTCCTTTATCAGCATAATTATCATAGGATCTGCTACCAATCTTATGGAGTTGGCCATCCCAATCATGCTCTGACGTAGGCATAGAAAAAAGTGTGTTCGACTCTTCAGAATGTTTATTATTAACGTCAACTGCTGGGGTCATCTTGATAGGATCAAACAAGGAGTGCTGATTAATAACAGAATCTGCAGTTGGAAGTTGAATAGCATCATATGGAGAACCATTCAGAGACTGTACACCACCAATATCCAGTCCATTTCCATGTCTAATCTCTGAAGCTTCATATTTTCCTTCATCGTCAGCAGTTCTCTCTGAAACACGGTCACAAAGAGCTAAATTAAGATGTAACATCTTGATTGTTCATTTATAGATATTACGGAGAAGTCTTATATTCATAACATTCAAACCTGTTTTGAGTGAAGCATCAATAAATGCACTATACATGCTAGCTTCATGAATATCCACTGTTTCTTTTCGTACGCTATTGGGTGCATCTTCTACAACATCTGAAGGAATGCAATCCTGTCTTCCCTCATCAAATTCAAGGTCTCCCACTTCTACACACAAGGATCAGAGTGTCACATACAACAAACAATAAACAATAAACTATAAAATGAGAAAGACATCCTCCATGGATTAAATATCTATATACCTGAAACATTATCAGCTGATCTTCCCTTTCTAAATGAACTATAGGAAACTCCACTGCTTGTAATTTTACCTTTCCACATGTCATTCAGAACGGCCTATGAAAAAGAAAATCAGGCATAACCAAGCAACCCAGTATAACAATAAACTTATAATTACAAGCAAATGGATTTGTAAAGCTCACCTCCTCCACTACATCAGGAGTGACGAAAGCAAGAGGTTCACTGAAATCTGGTTGAGTTATTGGAGGTACTTCCTCAAAATTGTCTGCCAAGTGAGCAAGAGATAACTCCAACTTTTGCTTGCGATATATGTCAAGTAGTTTGCCCCTAGGATAAACAAAAGTGTCAACAGAGAGGATTGTTTTTCCTGGAACATTTCCACTCTTGTCAGACTGAGCAGCACCAGCTGGGCCAGATGACGAAGGTCTTATAATTGAGACATTTGATCTGCCACGTCCTACAGTAAATCCCACAGGTTGCCCCTCTACACGACCTCTTTCTAGCCCAAATCCAGGAGCCACCCGATGGGAACCAGGTCCACCAGGATTAGTTTCCATTCTGTGCCGAGGCCTCCACTTATCACGAGACTCTGAGTCACGTTCAGCAACAGAACGAACATTTGACACAGCTGATTGGTTCTCACCCTGAGACTCTTCCTTTCCCACACTCATCTTTTTCTCCACCCTAACATCTTTTTCTTTCTCATCAGGACCCCATCTCAAAGACCACTTTCCATCGCGCCTCGCTTCATTTCCAGAATTGCGACTGCTCAGTTCATTCCACTTGTCAGTGACAGACATTGATCTATTGTCGGTTGCTTCTTTTCCTGGAACATTATCAGAACGTCTTTCCATCTTCCTGCGGTCTCTTCTACCAAGCAATCCAGTTTCCCTTTCTTCTTCACGCCAACGACGGCCACTATCAGGTTCAGTAGCATTCTTCCTCCAATCCTTTTTGTCCTCGGAGGCATCAGTGCGCCAAATTTCCTTCTGGTTTAAATCAGTAGAACCACCATGAGATAGAGAACTTGGCCCATGAGTTTCCATCTGAATAAAAAGCACATCCTTGACATTGAACAATGAAAACAAAGAAGTGGTGGAATCCAGACAAAGATGAGAAGGTTGGGGAGAGAGAATAAGGAAACCCATCTCAATAGGTTTATGACATAGTTAGGAAAATTGTTTATATGACAAGACACATCATTATTGACACCATTTATTAAGGGTTCTTTTTCACACTGTTAATACATTATGAGAAAACTGGATGGAATAATAACAATTACAGTTGATCCAGATTAAAAATACAAGCAACAGCTGTTGTTCCTCTAGAAACCAACATAATATAGCATAACAAGATATGGTTAATTTACAGGCTCCAAAGTGTCATGTTTACTTATAATTTCAATGCTTTAGGATTATTATTCATATATGCAGAAAGTTTCAGAGAACAACAATAAGCAGCTAAGGCACACAGTACGAACCAGAACAGCCATTCTAATCTTAGAAATAAAATTCAAGTGTAGAACATACTTCCTGCAGAAAATAAAACTTGGAAGAGATGCACATAATTCCACTCACTTAGCAAAGTTAAGGAGATAATCCTGAGAGCTCCAACAATATTTCAACAAACACAAAAAACCATTGAGGTCAGGAACTCCTTTAGAACTGACGTACGGAAAAATTGCATATAAAATTCTCAATGCAAGGCAAATCTAACAAAAAAATGTTGAGTCCATAAATGAGCAAAGTATAAAAATGCAAATCGAGGATTTCAGATTTTATAAATCAGGTATCATCACTCAAATTCAGAAGCCACTTCATATTGCATTAATTAACAAACAACTGGAGTGCCTGCCGAATTACCATTTTCGGTTCATTTGGCCTAGCATACAACCACTGCGGAGACAATGGCATGTTCTCTGACAACGCTTGATCTGCAAAAAGACAGGACCACAGGAGAACGTAAATATGCAAGAAATATAATTTTCCCAAACAAAGCTCCAATAAATTAAAAGGGTTGAAAGAAAACACTAGCTACCCTTAGTTTCGTCCAGTAATCCAAGCCCCTTGTCCTCATCACTTCCCACGGAGACTTCATTGCATACGCCAGTATAAATTAGCAAGCGAAGTATAAATATCAATCCCAGCACTTAGAACGTGCTGAACTAAAAACTAAAATGGGGACTATCAAATAATAAAAGGTAGATGCCACGAAAATAAAATCAAATTTCAACTTATAAGTTCAAGCAATATGCATACACAATTAACACCCAACAGATTTACCAAAGGACCCAAAAAGAAAATTAGAAAATAAAATAGTAATAACTAAGTTCTCTCATTGAAGAAGAATCACTCGATCCAGATAATGGACGATTTCAAAAAACATAATTAAATCGGAACTGAACCACCAGATTCGAAACCCTACCACCATTGCCAAAAAAAAAAAAAACGCAGATCGACATCCAATTGCAGAATCCGACACAACACGGTCGAATATAAGCAAGTAAACTAAATCAAAACAAGGAAGAAAAACATAAACTAAACCAAATCGAGAACACTGATTTACCTTTCGAAGTCCACGATTGATCAGACGGCTTAGATACGATGAGATCCTCCGGAAGATCGAGCTTGCTTCCCGCCATTTCAAAAAAACAAATCGATATTTCACGAAATCCCAACAAAACCAAGCCAAACCAATCACCACCCTCCACGGAGAACCGCAGAAGCAGCGAACGGAATTCGAAAGCGAGGGGCGAGAGAAGAGAATCTGCGACCAGACAATACGGCACCAAATTCAGACAGCAACAGCTTCCAAAAACGAATCGACGGGAGTATGAACACGCATAAAGGCAGGCAGAACGAGAGCTAGGGTTTGAGAGAGCAATTGGAAACAATTCCGAGAGAGAGAGATACAGGAACGCCAAGGGAAGAGAAACAGAAGAGGGTGAGGGTTTGGGTGGTCAGAACACCCAAATCAAATAATCGGCTGATTTTTTTAACTCGGGGGCCCAAACTTTCGGACTTTACGAAATGACCCCAAACAATAGTTTTTCTGCCAAGAAAAGCCCTTGACCGAAATCTTAAAAATAATACGCTATTTTTGGGGGGCTGACTGTCTATATTAAATTATTTTATAGCAATATTTTGTTATATATATATATATATATTATTTTTAATAATATTTTGTTATATTGTTGTGTAGTTGGGAAATGGGATTGAAAATTCACTTGGTACAAAAATGCCAATCTCGTGTTCTAATATTTCTGAGCACTTTTGAGTATCTGATTCATTGAACGATTGTGAACCAAAACTTTAGGGAACAAAGCAATTAAAAATATCTACATGGAATCGATCCAAATGGGCAAACAAAATTCACTCAAATGGGCAGAGATTTTGGGAGCCTAATTGCCCTAAAATATGGGTTCCAAATCTCATCAAATAAATGAAAATCTGTGACCACTTCTAATCAATCACAACCTGAATTTGTTTTAATGACGTGGGATTAGTTTTTCATTAAAACCTAGAAAATATTTTTCTTGGTTGTTTTTGGAGAACAATACCAAACTGAACACCAATTTTAATGGACAGTAAAATCTCCTTGAACAACCAAATATGGAATGACAAGTTCCTAACTGAAAACCATGGAAGCAAACAATGGTCCTCTCCAAAAAGACAGGGCCAGGGCCATTCGAGACGAGCCCTGCCTGCTCGACTGCGTACTATCATCGAGATCAAGGCACATAACATGATGGTTCTTTGGGACTGATTCACTTACAGGTTCGACTGGAAGAAATCTCCTCCTTTCCAGGAATCAGGAGATGTTATGCCTCATTTATTAACTAGCTAGAAAATACAAAACATCAAACTTAGCACCTCCAAAAACAGGAAAATGGCAGATAGATAGGCAAGAAAGTAATACAAGGTAAAAACATGTGGCGGGGTTCGGGCGCATTTATTATTATTTCTAGATTAAATAAAAATGTGCAAATCGAGATTATTGTATTGATAATTGCCATCTAATCCTATTTTGAATTGGTTGACAAGATTGTGAGTTGGGTGGGGGGGTGCCTCAGGATTCGCAAAATTATGAGAACTAACCTGTGTATGAATCATGAAACTGTACAGTTACCCAGCCCTGTACAAAATTGGTTGTGAAGAAGCTCTCACCCAAGCTATGCAAGCTTATATCAGTCGTCTACGTGCTGTATTTCTCCCATCAGGATTCGATTGCTGGTAACTTTGAAGCCAAGGAGAGCAGGATCGATTTGTCTGCCTTTCTTCCCTTTCTTTTTGTTGTTCCGAGCACCTTGTGTTCCATCTGACACCTCTGAAGCTCCTGCTGAGAAACCATGAGCTTCCTGAGGTATCGGCTTCTTAGCACTGCTTCTTACCATGTCACTGAATGATGTTTCCATTATATCAGTGTCGTTGAAGGATGATGTTCGCCGAAACTCTAGGGTTCCTCCATTTCCTCCCGCTTCTCGTCTCAACGCTATAACCAAGAAAAAAGTCTTACCATGTTAGCTGAGAAGCAGAAACACTAAACAGTCGACCAGCATAGAGAGCGAACTCTTTAGAATTTACATCGTAGATCTAAAGCAGAATTTATTCAATGGACATACAGCATTAGAATATGGTGGAATTGAACATTATGCAACTGTTTTATTCAAATGAAAAACATATACTCTAAAACCCCTCTTCCCCAATCAAAAGAATTTCCTTCAAGTTGAAGAAATTGCACTTTCAAATTATAATCACATTATTCAAGAAGAATGCTTTCGGGAGAGGATTAAACATACTGGAGTCCCAAACTTACCATCAGATGATACAGAACTTGAAAGACTTTTTCCTCTGGGAATTGGATCAGCAGTCATCTCTGACAACCCTTCCTGAGATGATGAAAATGGTGGAATAGGTGGACGCCTCAGCAAAACATTTTCAGGTCCTCTTGAACTGAAAGCTTGCAACCTACAAACAACATTGCAAATAGGAAATTAGAATTAATTAAAAATTTTCAGCAGAATAATGTCTGCAAAAGAAAATTGGATAAAGCAACAAAAACTAGTGATAACATTTTGAAAATTACAATAGGTAAAAATACATGTAAATTGCGAAGCCTCTGGAAGAGTTGACACTCAACTCAAAGTGGTCAATACCATCAGATATAAAAGGCACATGTCAAGCATAGTTGATGTGTGTAATAAAAAGAAATAATAATAATAATAATAATAATAATAATAATAATAATAACATAACATAACATAAACTTTACGTCTGGGATCATATAGCATTTCTTTCAGGCAGCCTTATATGGATATCACTAAGGGTTTGTATACTTGACAGGTTTTCTTCTCAATTTTCACTATTCAGTCTCCCAATTTCCATCCGAAAACACCACACCCAACATCCATTTTCCATACAAAATATCATCCAACCACTATTTCACCTCAAAGATGTCAAAACCACAAAAAAATAAAAGGAAAAACCTCAACCAAACAAACCCTAACAGTACCTAACTACAGGACAACAAAAGACTAGGAAAACTTCTATCTATTAAAAAGGCTTTTCAGAAAAATCAGATGTTGATGAAAAGTTGAGTTCTCTCAAAACAGAATAGAAAAAGATCATTTGAGGCATCCTACCTGTCCTTGGAAGCATCATCGAAGAAAGAGTCATTCGATCCTATATTTTCATTGTTAAAGATCTCATTAGAACTCAGAACATAGAGACATGAGCAAGAACAGAAAGAAAAACTACAGAATTACCAGAAGAGCCTGGTGGCTTGTGCCTTGCAAGGACATTGACTGGTTCATCACCCATGGCCGCAGATGCCGAGCGAGCCTTCTCAGCTACACCTCCATGAACCTCTGAAATTATTCCCTGAATGTTACCTTCATTGATGAGCATAACTTTGTTTGCTTACACATTGTGAAAATTAATATCTAAGCTGCCTTCTTTTATTGGCTAAAAAAGTTAACCATGCTCACCTGATTGTTTCTATCAACGCTAGAAACATGAGAATCTCCTTTAGATCTATGAGAAACTCCCATCTCAGTAGCACTTGTTACAACCTCTGAAAATAGACTGGATTGTTCCCCAAAACTGGAACCATAAGACAACCCCACAGCTGATGATTGGCTGAAACCTGACCCTTGATCTGTAACAACACTAACTGACTGGCTCACCGCACTTGCTCTAGAATATGACCTTCTATCTTGTGGTATTTCATTAGTCGCATTAAGTTGTACAGTAGATGGGTGGCCCAAATTCGGATTTAGCATTTCCATAAGCAAACGCTTTGAATTGTCATCATTACTTCCAGCTGACATCCACAAACTATGATCTTCAAATCTTTCTTCTTCAACAGCCAATTTTCTCTGCCTCTCACTGTTAAGATGTAATTGTGGAACTCTGGACTCCATATACTCATTTGGCAATGTACCATTATTTTCAGACCAATGGCCTTCACTTGTGTCCAAACCTGAAGAGAGGAATCGATTCAGTGCCGGGGGGTGATTCTTATGCTGAAATGACACACCAGGTGAGAATGCATCAACTTGACCACCGGGCAGCATTCGTCCAATCTGGCCATGCATTTCCAAACCTTGGCCCAAAGTTATGGGATTCACAGCATCACGGTTAGCGGATGCAGCACCAACAGGCACCGACATGGAGCGCTCAAAAGGCACCATAGCTGTATCATAATTACCATGTTGAAGTCTATCTTGCATGGAAAGATTCCTTTCAAGACGGTTGAGATGCTCTTCAGAGAGTGGTTTCTGATTGGAATAGAAGTCCAGAGGGCCAAATCCAGTAGAGTTGACTCTATGAGAAGCAGCAGCTGAATTTCTGTGAAATTGTGTAGCTTCACCCGTTGGCCACCCAGGATTATGCCTTTCTTCTTCCATTTCTAATCTCTGTCTCAACCCTAAATGTAACTGCCTCGCACGCAACTGATCTTGGTGAAGAATCATTTGATCTCTGGGTTGAACCTGTCCCCGCTTTACCTGCGCCATGATCTCCAATAAATCATTTTGATCACCTTGATCAGACAATTGACCAGATTTTGCTTGAATTAGCAGCTGGTCAAGGGAGGGATTGGAATGCCTAGATGGAATTTGTGACTGCTGCTGAAAACCACTTAAGAGTTGTTGCCTCAGCATGGCATGCTCAAGGGAAGCATTTGATCTAAGGGCATCCATGCGTAAATTGTCATTACTTGAGTCATGCATTTGATTCCACATCAGCTGGTCACGAAAAAACTGTTTAGCTTGGGAGGACTGCTGCTCTTTCAACATCTGCTGCTGATGGAACTTCTGTTGCTGCTGTATCTGCTGCAGCTGTAGCTGCTGCTGCTGCTTTTCCAATATCTGCTGATGTAGTTGCAGCTGCCTCCGCTGCTGAAGCTGAATACCCAAAATGTGCTCTGTATCTTGCCCCATATGATTGGTAAAATGTTTGTGATGCATAGAATTCAAGCTTTGGCCTCCTAACATTGCTTCATTAAAGTGTGTATTATGAGAAGGCATGATACTATGTTGTTGTCGATGCTGCTGTTCCAATTGCTGAGATAGCAGCTTCTCTTCTAAATCAAAACGTTTAAATCTTTCATCCATTCTTGTAAAACGGATAGCATCATCAGCCTCATGATACAATTTGGAATCAGAAGATGCTCTGTTACCATATACATCATTCCATGTATCAGAGATATGAGTTGGATCAGCCATCATACCAAAAGGCAGAGCCCTTCCAGGCAAGGGATTTACAGTGTTGTCTGAGGCACCTCCACTAAATGTCGGTGTAAGATTATTTTGAGAATACATATTGTTATTTTGGGAATATGTATTCTCAAGTTTGGACCACAACAAACCAAGAGGGTTCAATCCACCATCTTTCTCATTAGACACACCAGAATTTATTGGTTCATTAGCAATGTACAACCGGCTGGCCCCATCTTTTGCTGATTCAACATATCTTCCAGAGATTGTTTCTGTGGCGTTGCCAACAATTCCATGTCTCCCAGGAAGCTGCATTTCTGGGTAAAAGAAAGGGTAGCAAACAGATTGAAACCAAATTATTTAGTGTTGAAAAAAAAAAAAAAAAAAACTTATGAGAAGCTGTAAATGCAACCCAACCTTTTTCATGGACACCAAAATCACCCAGAATTTCTCCATGAGAGTTAGCATTACGTGGCAGAAGATGCTGATGCTCAGATGCTTTCAATTGATTCTGATGTGCAGCAAAAGCATCATTAGGTAACTCCCAACCAGAGGCATCTACTGCAGTGGAATGAAGTGATTCAGAAACTAGGACACCAGATTGTAATCCTGTTAGTGGGAAACCCTCCACTGACTTCTCCAGATTAGGCCGTAAATTCAAAGCACTATCATACTCGGGATAAAATTTCAAATGAGGCATAACATCTCCCAATTTCTGGAAAGATGACCCATCAGGAGCATTTTCCAAACGGACAAGTAAATCAATACCAAAAAACCCTTGCTCAAACCATGTGATTATGTCTGCTCCAACAAAAGGTCCTTGGATTTCCCCCTGAGGATCCAGGTAGTACAAACTTAATTCCTCTGGAGGGAGTCCTTCATCTATTTGAAATTCATAACCTCTGCTCCCAAACTCATGTAAGTGATCATCCAAATAGTCATGTGATGTTGGTATAGGAACCAGGGATTTTGAATCATCAGAAAATTTGTTGTTAATGTCAACTAATGGGGTAGACACAATTCTACCAGTCAATGGATGCTGATTAACATCAGATTCCAAAACCTTGAGCTTATTAGCTTCCAACACAGAACCATGTGGAGCTTCTAAGCCACCAATATCTGTATCATTTCTGCGCATAACCTCTGGCATTTCGTACTTCACTTCATGATCAGTATTTTTCCCTGATACAAGATTACAAATGTTTTTTTATTTATTGGAATAATAAAGAACTACGTAGAATTAGAAGGGAATATTCTCTGATTACAAAACTCCTTCGGGTACATTACTGTAGAATATGCTACCAACACTACCTTCATGACTTTCATCTGAAGCTTTCCGAAAGGTATGCGGTATCCCCTTCCCAAGATCCAGTGAGAGGGAGACCATACTTCCATTGGTGTGATCAAGCTCTACAAATAAATGCAAAAAAATAAAACAAACAAACAAACAAAAAAATAGAATTTCAAAATTATATATCATACAGAAATTGTAAGTAGGGGAGAATGACAGAAATATTTCAGTTGACAAGTTTATGAAACCTGGAATGTTTTCTGTTGAGTTTCCTCTCCTGAATGAATTGCTTGTGGATCCACTGCTTGTTATTTTACCAGTCCAGATGTCATGCAAGATAACCTACAAGAAACAGCAATCAATCTAACAACCATAAACAACCACAGTGAGTAACAGACTATTCTATTCAAAAAGCTCACCTCCTCCTCAGCAACAGGGACAACAACAGCTAAAGGTTCAACAGCATCTAATTGAGTTATCGAAGGTGCTTCCTCCAAAATATCAGGTAGGGAGGTAAGAGATGAATCCAACTTTTGCTTGCGATAGACATCAAGTAGTTTTCCCCTGGGGTATACAAATGTTTCAGTAGAGAGGTTTGATCTTCCTGGAACATTTCCATTGTCATATTGAGAAGCACCAACTGGAATAACAGATGAAGGTTTCACAACAGAAATCGATCTGCCACGCCCTACAGTAAAGCCTGTGTGTTGGCCCTCAACACGGCCCTTTTCAAGCCCAAAGCCTGGTGCACCACGATATGTACCAGATCCAGCAGCATTACTCTCCATCTTGTGTCGAGGTCTCCACTTATCACGAGATTCTGAATCACGTTCAAGAACAGAACGGTTATTTGGAACAACCAAGTGACTCTCACCCTGAGACTCTTCCTTGTCCACATCTGCCTTCTTCTCCATTCGAGCATCTTTTTCTTTTTCTTCAGGACCCCACCTTAACGACCATTTGCCATCACGACGAGTTTCAGTGCCTGAATTGCGATTATTGAGATCATGCCACTTGTCAGAGCCCGGCAATGATCTATTGTCAGATGTTTCTCTTCCTTGAGCATTATCAGGCCGTCTATCCATCTTTCGGCGTTCCCTTCGACCAAGCAATCCAGTTTCCCTTTCTTCTTCACGCCACCGTCGGCCACTATCAGGTTCTACTGCAAGTTTTCTCCAATCCTTTTTGCCATCAGAAGCATCTGGGCGCAAAACCTCCTTCTGGTTTAAATCAGCAGAACTACCAAGAGACAGAGAACTTGGCCCACGGGTTTCCTGCTGAAAAGATATCTTTAGTGATACACAAAAAAAAAAAAAACAGACAGAGCATTTAGGCATGACACAGACGATTGCTTTGCATATCTTTACCAATGACAGCAAAAGGGAAACATATCCTTGTAGAAAAGACATCAAAGTATTTCATATTATTGGACAACTTGCACAACTTTGGACATTCACTCCTGAGATCTCACTTTCACATCAGAACAAGATTCTCCACACAGCCTGCAAACTTACCATTTTCAGCTCATTTGGCTTAGTATAAAGCCACTGCGGAGACAGCGGAATGCTCTCAGGTGCTGCTTGATCTGCAGGATGGCAGATAGATCAGTACAAGGCTAGGTATATGCGCCAACTAATGATCTATCACTGAATTAATTACCTTTTGATTCTTCAAGAAATCCTACAAATCCCTTGTCTTCATCGTTCCCTGCGGTAGGTCCTTGAAACATCAGTAATCCATGTCAGCGTGAAAAAGAACACACTGTAATATCAACTAGCATAAAATACCCACTAATGATGAAAAATATCCGCATATACTCCGAAGAAACAACCAAATGCAAACTGGTCAAACTTCAGATTACAGTTCGAGAAGCCATTCATAATAACAATTGCAAAAGAAAACTTAGATTGTCCAAAAGAAATCACTAAAAGAACAGCATCAATGTTTCCTATTTCCCAAAGGAATTGCCGAATCTAATAGACCATAGACACTGAGTAAATGCTAAATACGAGGCCTAAAAAACGGTGCAAATCACCTTACAGAAGTACATAATGCACACCAGCACTCCAATCCAACAAAACAAACGAAATCAAAGCAACTAAAATCGACTACCTTTCACAGTCCAAGATTGATCGGTCGGCGCAGACAACGCAACAAGATCCTCCGGGCGATCTATCTTTCTTTCCGACATTACAAAAGCCCGATGTTCCACGAAATTACAACAATCAGAAACGTAAGCAAGAAAATCACAAACAGATGATAAAATACCGATGGAGATTAGAACAGAGACAATTGATTTCGCAAGCGCAAACAAAAAATTCAGAATGAAAGCGATTCAGAAGGAGAAGTGGCGGATGTATGAATATCCATCTTGGTTCCCAAGAAGGGACTTAGGGTTTGAGAGAGAGAGCTGAGGTAGAGCAGTTGAGAGTTTGCAGGTAGATGGAGCGCAGCGCGTTGTGAGGGAAGAAGGAGAGGGTTTGGATGGACATTAGTAGCAGCAGTGCAGCCAAATCTCAACTGCGTCTCGAGTTTCTTTTTTATATTTTATATATACACACACACAATACATATCCACATTTTTTAAAGTAATAAGAGTAGAATTGTTTATTTATAATTAAAATTTTCGGTGTTAATATAAAATTTGTATGAAATATTCTCGTTGTCCAAAATGTTTGATTTTAAATAAACATTTAAATTATTCGGAGTTTTATACTAAAATATTTTAAATAATTTTTTAAAATAAAATAAATAAATCAGATGAATTCTTATTTTATAATTTTTTTTAGACAAATTATTATGTGATTTTAGAGGGTTTGTTTGCCCAATATTTTTTTCTCCGACACGATTTCTAATATATATATTTTACTCTCTCATAAAAGTCAACGTTCAAGGTAAAATATTATTTTTTATATTACTGACACAATTTTCAATATCTCACATAAAAAAAATTAACAAAAACACTAAACAAATAAAGCCTAAAATAAATGATTTAATCAATTATTTATTTATTTATTTTATTCAAAACCTTATTTAAAATATTTTATACTGTATAAAATTTACATAATTTAGGACTTATTTAGAACTAAATATTAGTTTTGAACTGATGGTGTTTAATGCAAACTTCATATTAACACAAAGAGTTTCACGCAATAAATAAATGCATATTGTTTTATGCAATTTTTACTAAAATATAAGAGCCGATGCTATATAATTTAAGTTTATTTTTATTTTAACTTATAAATAATTTATTAAAAAATAATATTATTATTTAATATCGAATTTTAATTCAAATCTTCAAATTCTAACTTAAAAACAGCCATAAAAGGTGCTTTTTTGTTGCAAATTTGATTTTAAGAATTTTGTTTTAATATAAAATTATTAATATATATTATTGAAAATCAATTTAAAATATATTTTGAGTAATTTTAAATTTTATATTTAACTAGTGTTTATTTGTGAAATTTTGGTTTTGCGTTTTGATTTTTAATAGTAAAATTTTAAATTAAAATAATTGTTTGATTTTGACATAAATATATATTGATGTAATATTCTGAATTTAAAATTAGATTCTAGTGTAATAAAATAAATAAAAAAGTATGCATTTGATTTGATATTTTTGAAAAAAAAAATGAAATTGAAATAGTAAAATATTGGTAAAATTTCACAAATAAACAAAGCATATGATCTTTTATTAGATTATTGAATTTTATAAAAGAATAGAATATAAATATATTCCATCCGTCTTGGTACAAGATTGTCGTTTACTTTTTGCACGTAGATTTTTTAATATTAGTATTATAATAGGTTGTAGTAAAAAAGACGAAAATGTTGTATAATATAAAAGTAATGGTATTTGTGTAATATAATGTAAGTTGGAAGTGTATTTATTATATTAGGTAGGTAGTACAATTACTAAATTAGGAAATGATAACCTTATTTTGGGACGAACGAAAATGAAAAATGGCAACCTTTGAGAAAGAGGGAGTATATCATATTATAATAGGATTTTTTTTTTTCAAATTTTTAAATATTTTAAGAGAATATTTTTTTCTCTTTTATAGTATTTTTTAGATAAGTTTTATTAATGCACCAATGGACATCAAATAATATGATTACACACCGTATTATTTATTTTAATATAATGTAAATATATTACATGAACTAACAACATATCGATGGAATCGGAATTTGACAAAAGGGGCTAATTTTAAAAAATTTAAATTAATATAATCTATTAACATATCGACATAACCAAAATTTTACGAGAGGAACTAATTTTTAAAATTTTTAAAATAATATAAAATATTTATTATTAGATAGTTTAATTTTTTTGTGTGTTATATTTTAAAATTTTTACAAAATAATAAATTAGAACAACATCATCTACATATTATAATATTCATTTTGATATTGTCGATAAGTATAATTTTTCATTAGAAAAAATCTTCACTTCAAAAAAAAAATTATCGAAGATTGTTTAATTCTCTAACATGTTTCGTTTAGATTTTTTCTAATGTTTTTTTTTTTTTTTCTTACTTCTACTATAAATTTAAAATAGTGGGATTTTAGAGGATTGCATATTATATTTTATATATACTATTACCAATTTACCAGAGTATAATCCTTATTATAAACAATTAAAAAAAGTTAAAATACATTATTCAAAATTAAATTAATTAGAAAAACAACATACATAATATATATATATATATAGAAAAAATAAATTTGGTTTGTTAAAAATAAAATTGATGCAATAGACAACTTAAAAATATATATACAATAAGAATAAAAGCAAGTATTACAATAGAAATAAAATTTTATATATCAAATTTACAATAATTTTCTACATGAATTTTTTAAATATTTTTTCGAATTAAAATTTTAAAATTCAAACATAATCTATGAAATTGAAAATTATATTAGATATAATATACAAAATCAAATCGAAAATAAATATATAATAAGAATGAAAAATAATTAATAAAAAAATACAGATAATTAAAAAAATATACATAATAAAAATAAAATTTTATATATTATAATTTTCTATATATATTCCGCAAATATTCCTTTAAATAAATAGACGTAAAATTAAATATAATTTAAAAAACAAACAAATAAATAAATAAATAAATAATGTTTGAAAACAATCAATTAGAAAGAAGAAGAAATATAAAGAATTCATTAATAAGAAATAAATAAAAAAAAAATTACACATAATTTTTTTAAAAAAAATTACATATACACAATAAAAATAAAATTACTAAAATTAAAATAATTTTTAATATTAAAATTTATCATAATTTAAGAGTCTGTTATTTTAATAGATTTTGTCAAATCTACACTATTTATAAAAAAAAATATTTCTTAAAAAAGTATCAAATCAAATATTTATATTTTATAATTTATATTATTTGTTAAAAACTAATTTTATATTCAAAACATAATTACTATTTAAATTCCAACTCAAATAAATAACTTCAAATAAAGTGTTTTCTCAATATACACATTCATAGTCTCAATCAAATATAGTCAAAACATATTCTAAACTAAGTCATTTCATATTTTTTGTTTGTTTTGTGTTTTTATTTTAATTAAAAAAAATTAATATAAGATATAGAGAATTATGTAGACATTGACGGATTCATCGTTTATCAATGTGGGATCATAGGACCCCACTTGAATTTTTATGTATATATACTAATTATTAATTTAATTTTATTCTATTAAATATCCATATATTAAATTCTATATAAAAAATTATTTTATAATTATTTGAATGATACTATTATTTTGATTTATTTTTTTCTTAACAAAAACTTAATTAATCATATAATTATATTAACTTTGTTTCGTATCAAAACTCGAATCTTCTATGTTCTCATTTCACTCTATTAGAAATGATAAAATAATTATATATTTTCATCGTATAAAAATCTACAAAGGAATAATTGTAATTTATCTTTTTTATATTGTAATAATAATTTATTAATATATAATTATGCACCCACTAAAAAATCGGCTGGATCTATTATTGTGTGTATATAACATAAAAATAATAAACTTTTCTAATTTAGTTTATTACATAATATAATTAATATAATTACATAAATTAATTTCTAAATATTCAGCATAGGTACTTAATTTAATCCGGAGTAATCAATAGCATCTCGAAGAAAAAAAAAATAAAAAAAATTCACATTAAATAATATTGAAGCAAAATTAAAAATGAGTATGTGACTCGCCATTGTCCATTGGCGAGGCATCGAGGATCCGCCAATGACAAAAAAGCGTGACGACCGACGAGCAGAGTTATGAAAGAATAATAACTTATCGAGATATAGTTTCAAGTTGCTCATTGGAGGTTGACATTTGCTAACAATAGATTGGGTATCTTAGATCTCGTATGTACGTACAATAATAAATTACGTTGCTAACTGACGAACAGTTGTCGCAAAAATAAAAAATATATTGTTTTATTATTATTATACTAAAATTGTTCGATGTAGAACGCTCAAATATGCGGTGTTGATCGATTAGTGAATTTACTTTTCCATATAAAAAGGTCTCTTCAATTTTTCTATCGTGAAAAAATATTCAAGTTTCGTTTATATGGTAAAAAATATTTTTTTTATAAAAAATTAAAAATATATATTTTTTATATAATATTTTATGACAAATAATAAAAATTTAATATAGTATTTAACAATTCCTAATATAAATAAATAATTCTAAAATTTACAAAAGTGTGTATAAATCGAGCTTTAAATTTTTCTTACACAAAGTATTGCTGCTTTAAAAATATTCATGATTTGTTCACTTTCTACTATCGTCCTATTTAAATTTTAGGCTAAATTGCACAAAATCTATATGTGGTTTTGTGAAATTGCGCCAAATTCCCTGTACTTTTAAAACTGCGTCAAACTCACTCGTGGTTTCATAAACTCTGCATGTAACTCCCTCGGCGGTCCTTATTTAACGGTATTTGACCTAAATGCGCCAAAACTGCGAATAAATTTTAGAATTTCAATTCTAAACCCTAAAATTACAAATATATATATTTTTTTTTATATATTTAGCCTAAAAAAATAGTAAAAATAAATTATTAAAATATGATAAAAATAACTATTTTTTTAGTATATTTACTATTTTTTTAGGCTAAATATAAGACAAATAAATATATATATATATATGTAATTTTAGGGGTTTAGAAATTGAGATTCTAAAATTTATTCGAAGTTTGAGCGCATTTAGATCAAATACTATTAAATAAGGACTGCCGATGGGGTTAGACGCAGAGTTTATGAAACCACGAGAGAGTTTGACGCAGTTTTAAAAGTATAGGAGATTTGACGCAATTTCACAAAACCACGGGTATATTTTATGCAATTTAGCCTAAATTATATATATTGATGTATGTGTAAAATTTAAAAAATAAAATAAAATAAAATATTTTGAATTTAATAGAGTGATACTAGAAGTAAAAATTGGGGTAAAGTTATAATTGAATAATAA